CTGTTCAAAAGTTGAATAAAGAAACAAAGTAATTTTTGCCTCTTTTTTATTTTATTAAAACCACTTTTTAGAACATCACATCAGTAACAGTGTAGAATCAATGTCATTTATAGTTTACAAATGACAAAATGTTTACACCAAATCATGACAGTGTTTACATGATATCACCCACTACTAACATTACTTTATTTACTGTGTCTTTTGGGGGAAAAAATACCGCTATTTATACAGCAAAAGACTTAAGAATATTTAACAGGAGCAAGTTTAATTTTTCCCTGGTGTTACTACCACACTGTTCAACAAACCTTCACCATCTTATCCAGAAGGGTCACCTCTTCACCCTCACATGGAAGAAGTAATCTGATTGGCATGGTGGTTTGTTTGAAGCAGGTCTCTTGTGTAGCGCTGGAAACCAGTCACGATTTCATCCTTGTCATAGGCTGGTTTTCTGCAATAATGCCAAATAATTAGCAACTCTAGAAATAGAAGGTAGTTCTGCAAAATCACTCAGTAGGATGTTTGTTCTAATTTGCTATGAGCTCAGAGCGCATCGAAAATGAAACTAATAGGCTATAAAGAGTGATATGAACTAGAGCAGGGAGATATGGCCAAAAATATTTATCACGATATATATTTGAAAATTTGCGATAACGACATAACTGACGATATAATTGATGCGAGACAAAATACAACTCCACAACATTACTAGCGCAAAAAAACACCATCCATTTATTTTCACTTACGCAAGAAGCTGGTTTTATGGGGGAGGCTAGTGGATGAACAGAGGTTGGTGAGTCTAAGGCTGGCGGAGCTACGGGCAGAGCTAAAGATGGTGACAACGCTGCAGCCTGGGCTAGTAAAGCTGGTGCCTGAGCAGGGGACAGGTCAGCTAGCCTAACTAGGGATAGTCCTAGTGCATGAAAGGCACGATCAGGAGGTGGATGAAGTGGTGGAGTGACAGGTGGAGAGGCTAGCTCTTCCGAGCCTCTAGCGAGGTCAGGCTGGGTTCCGGCTGCCCTCAGCCTGGGCGCTGGGACAGGCACGGGAGGTGGCTGGACACCAGTCACCCCCACCCGAGAAACAGGAACGGGTGTGGAGACAGACTGGGTCACAGCTGCTCTCGTCCTGGGAGCTGGCACAGGTTGGGGTGCTACACGGACAGGCTGAGCCTTAGCTGCCTTCACCTGAGAAGGTGAAACCGGGTAAGGGGAAGGCCGAATCTGGGCCACCGTGCTGGCAGGAAATGGCTGAGCGATGGGTGAGGAAATAATGAGGGAATGGGAGAAACTATCAGGTTTAGCGGGGATAATGCCTTTAGCAGTGGCTTGTGATGGTGGAATAGTCTCTTTGGAGGCAGGATGGTGAGTATTAATTGGGTAGTCCAGAATATAATCATAGTACACAGTCTTTGGCTTAGGTGGATGGTGAACAGTCTCTGGATTATGGCGAGGTGAAAGAAAAAAGTCAGTTTCGCTCACCACCGGATGCTGCTGCTCCCAACAGGAAACGTGGTGGCGGCGTGAACCTCGCCTACTCTTAGATGTAGTAGCAGGCGCGGCGAGCGACGGAGCCTCCATCGAGGCGAGATGGGAGGCAGATTTGCGGCGCCCTGGCGACGTGGAAAGTGCGATGAATGGGGCGGGCGGTGGGTGAGCGAGGAGCGGAGCGGCGAGAGAGGGAGCGGCCGAAGCGTGGCGAGAGACACCCACTCTCTGAGGCGAATACTCCGGTGCAGGTGAGGCAGCAGATGGGAAAACGCCATTTGACCTTAGAACTGAAGAAGCTTCTCGGATGAGAAGCACAGGCCTTGGTGAAATGTACATGGCCTCATCCGGCAGCACGGGCCCTGGTGTAACGTTGGTGGCCTCCGTCAGCAGGACAGACCCTGGTGAGGCTCTGTTTACTATTTGCTGGAAGCCCAGGTCCTGGTGTAATTAAAATGGCCTCAGCAAGCAGGACAGTCCCTGGTGTAATGTAGATAACCTCAACCAGGAGCACAGACAGTGGTTAGCTTTAGATGACCTCATCCAGCAGCACAGGCCCTGGTTAAATGTGGATGGCCTCATCCAGCGTGCAGTAAAGGCTCTGGTGTGGTGTAGATTGCCTCAGCCAGCAGCCCAGGTCCTGGTGTACTGAAGATGGCCTAAGCATGCAGCACAAGCCCCCTTGTAAAGTAGCCCCCATCACTGGCTGGTGATGTTGCTGACATCACCAGCCAGTGTGGAGGAGAGGAGGCTTAACGACATCACCAGCCAGGGCAGAGGAGAGTGGTTTCCTGACATCAGGGTAAAGGAAAATTCGCTTGCTGAACTCATCAGCCAGGCCAGAACCGAAATCACCAGCCAGGGCAGAGGAGAGTAAATTACTGACATCACAAGCTACGACAGAGGAGAGTTAATGGCTTACATCTCTAACCAGGGCAGAGAGGAGGAGGCTTGCTGACATCACCAAATAGGGCAGAAGAGAGTGGCTTGCTGACCAGTCAGGAGGAGGAACTGAAAACATCAGAAAGGGCAGAGGAAAGTAGCTTGCTTACAATACCTGTGAGACTAGCGCTGAAATCACCGGCTAAACATGCCTCTACTGCTCTGATTGTGTAGGGGCTCAGAGAAAACTATAGATGGTAACAGATGACTAATATGTGACATTGTCTACCAGCAACACTTTGCAGTCATCCTATAGACTACCATTTTAGTAGCTTAGAGACATTCCCTCGTACCACCATTCTGCAATTCAATTCAGTTCAGTTTAGTTCAGTTCAATTTTATTTCTATTTCTCCATATCACTACCACAGTTGCCTCAAGAGTCTTTATTTTGTAAGGTAAAGACTACAACAATCTACAGGCTCCTCTTTACTTCACATTCCACCTCTATAGGACTACGAACGTGTGTAAATGTTGGATAGATAGCACTTACTTAGAAAAAAACATTTTTAAAAAGTGCTTGGGCAGATTGTATAAAGTGCTTTGTGAAGAGAAAAGGGTTTACAAGAGCCAGTACATTAATCACCTGAGTGCACAGTGAATCTACCTCCGGTGCTCCTGGCCTTACTTCTCTTCAACCTGGTTTCATCCACATACATTATATTTACCTTCCTTCTCTCCTTCATATCAACCAGCTCTCATAGTCTCCACTTTTAAAATCCCTAGTCTCACCTCCAAAGTCCATGTCTCACTGCTTCTGAACCACCTTTCCCTTCTTTGTTTTATTTTAGCCAGCAGTAGCACAGTTTCCTCCAGGACATTTTTGGCCAGCAGCACTGGAGGGTAGCCATTGTTAACCCATGCCCTGAACTATCTGCTATGGACATGTCATTCTATATAATTCATGTTTAATATAGCAAAGATTTTATGCCAGATACTCTTCCTGATGCAACACCCGTGGCTTGGTTAAATGTGAATCAGAAATTGCATACACCTAATGATAATCAAATGTGCATCACAAATACTAAAAATCTGCTCATTCAAGTTTCAAGCAAATATTTATCCAAGCCTTTTTATGTTATATAATCAAAACCACACGCAGGTGTACTTGTTTGAAACTATTTACTCACACTCATAGTAGCATTGTGTGGGCCACACCTTATTTTGCCTGCAGCCCTTTAAATGCAGTACACTGACTAGCACAGTGTTTGTATGTCTTAGGTTGTATGAACTTAGAACTAAGTAACCGTATTGTTTGTTTATCCAGTTTATATTCTCGCTAAGAAAAAGTGAAGCTGGGAATATGTTTCTGAGGATGTTTCATCTGACTGCTTTTTAATTTATAGTGGGATGCAACCAAGTTACTTTGAAACATATTTCAGCAGTTGACTCTGATTTGTACGGATATGAATTTCCTAAAGCTGTCAGGTAAGAGAAATTGCTTTCCAAATACATGTTTATTAGATATGTTGGACTTTAAGATTTTTGTTTTTGAAATATGCAGTTTCACTTGAAGAGTTTGTCATGTTAGCTCTCTGTTCAGAAAGTATTTTTAGTGAAAATACCATTGCAGCTTCATATCCTCACATACTCCTCTCTCTCTCTCTCATCCTCCTCTCCTCTCTCTTTATATAAAAATATTATATAATATATATATATAATATATATATAAATATATATTAGGGGTGCAACGATACACAAAATTCATCGGTTCGGTTCGATACTTTGGTGTCACGGTTCGATATTTTTTCATACAAAAAAATGTTCATGCTTTTTTAATTTGTCATTTATTAAAATTATAAATATATATTTTAACTCAAAAGTACAGTTTTTAAATTTAATGTTGCTGAAACAACAAAGATAAAATCTGATCGAGAAATCACTCATCTTTGGAAAAGAGAGTTTATTACAGAGAAATGGCTCTTTCCAAAATAAAAGCTATACTATACCGCTTCTTCTGGGCTATATTCTCAGCAGCATATTAAACATATCAGGTCCCCATAAGGAGAATCCTTAAAGTTTGTAGCATGCTGCTTGTTGTTTTTGTCTGCTTCCACTTGTCTTTGCACGAGGATGATGTCGGCGTAAATGTGCAGTCATATTCGTTGTGTTCCCACTAGTGCTGTCAGCGTTAATCTCGTTGAAATGTCGTTAACGCCATAACGCGGCAAATCTCCGTTAATGAGTTACCGCGGATCGCCCCGTGCGTGGGGCTGGACAGCGTCAACACGTTAACAAGCTAACTGCGCTAACGCACTAGTTCCCACCAATTGAGCATTGCGTGGCACATCAAACATACTGCTTTACTTTTGTCCATGATGCGCTTACCTTCAGGGTCATACGTCACATGAAAGACCAAGATAGTTCCAAAGCCAGATTGAATGAAGGTGGGGGAGGTTCAGTTTCGGGTAGCGTTGAGGCAGTAGCCATGTTGCAACGAGCTTAGCTTCTGTCTTGCTAGCTTGCGCTGCGCTCAATGGATCTGCGCTCGACGGTGCAGCCTAGGCGGAGTAGTCAAACGCAGATCCACTGAGCGCTCAACACAGAAATTTTGTATTGTTTGATACATATGTGTACCGAACCGAAAGCACTGTATCGAACGGTTCAATATTGATACGAGTATGTTGCACCCCTAATATAATATATATATAGTATATATATATATATATTATATATTATAATAATGATATATATATAATACACACACACACACACACACACACTCACACACACACACACATACACACACACACAGTTTCAGTCAGTTATAAGGAAAGTCCTCCAGGGATCATCTTCCATATTGTGATTTCAGACAGGGACTTTGGTGAAACAGCTAGCACGGACAAACCAAAGCGGAGCTCAGAATTTAGTGAAAGAAAACTGGCACCAGCTGACTTCAGTGGCATCTACAGCAATGGTGAGAACACAGATTCGTACAGGTCTGGTCTTTATCATCACAGGAAGAGCAAGTGAAGATTCCAGTTAGCAACATTTTAATAAATAAATGATGGGTGGTGCTGTCACTTGGTGTTGGCTCTCTCTGCTGTACAGTCTCATTTACTCTTTCTGGTACATCACACAGTGGTGTAGCCCATTTAATAAAAATGTTTAGATAATGTCCTATTACACAAATCTGGCCAAATTTATTAAATCCCCTGCAAAATAATTGTCCAGGGTTGAGACCAGAAGGCAGAGTTGCAGTCTTACACGCCTCTCTGCAGCTTCTCTCCTCCTGTTATACTCCCAAAACCCCATTCCTATAAAGACTGTGTTTGACCACTTAAAAACAAACCAAATATCATCAAACGTTTATTTCAACATTAAAGAAATAACAAAGAAAGTAGAATATGATTTAATAATTCATCAATATATTGATTTATTCTGCATTACAGAAACCTGGTTACAGCAGAATGATTATATTATTTGACATGAATCAACACCCCAAGTCATACTAACTGTTAGAATCCTCGAAGCGCAGGCAGAGGAAGAAAAGTGTAAACAACTTTATTAATCAATCATAAAGACCCAGACATATGGAGAGAAATTTACCTCAAAAGTGTTATGAATTCATACAATATGAACATAAACAAAGATTTATCAATCTGTACTGTGATTTGTGTGTAATTTTTGAGGACTCGCATATGCATGCTCAAATCCACGCACAAATACACAGATATGTGACAACATGTTTGACACCAACTATAATAAATAGTGATCATTTACACACAAATGATTGAGTTCTGCTTTACTTCAGGAGGCCCAGATACCCCAGGTTTACACTGGGACAGGAACACGGCCTACATTTGTGTATCTGTGTGAAGTTGACAGTGTGATATTTCTCTCAAAACCCCACATGGACATTCGATGTGATCTGTGTGTTTTGTGAAGTTTTTATTTGTCATTCACCTGGTCCTTATACAGAGTTTCTGTCTAATTTCTCAAACTTATATTGTACTGATGTAGTGCATTCAGTGATTTAGTACATCTATGTAGATACTGAAAATGACATCCTCAACATGGCATTTAATCTATTACTACTCAACTGGCTCTCTTAAAATGTTAAAGAACCCACTTACTACTTTAATCATACTCTGGATCTTATTCTCACATATGGCATAGAAAGTGAACATTTCTAAGTATTTACTGAAACCCCGTTTTGTCTGATGATTTCTTTGGTTTTCATTGGAAGGTTGGTGGTTTGATCTTTGGCTGGTGCAGTCATCATGCCAAATATCCTTGGGCAATATACTAACCCAAGTTGCATCCACCAAAGTGTGAATGTGTGTTAATGTTAGATAGAAAACACTTAAAAGCATAGAAAAATGTGTTTGAATGAATAGGTGAGTGAGGCCAGTTATGTAAAGCAAATTGTGTAAAGTAGGTAAAATACTCGATTTAACACAGTGCAGAGCAGCTACCTGAACACTGCTCGGACAGAGGCCAATTATCTTTTTTAACAGTATTAGATCTTCACATCATACAACTCTGGATACTGTGGCTCCTCTGATAAAGAAAGCATCAATTCAGATGCTTTCTTCCCTGGTAAAACTCTCAAATGCACATGCAGTCTGTTAGTAAGATGGCACCAGTGGGGATGGCTGCCATCACTCGATGTTCTCCTCAGTTTTGCATTTTTCTCGTGTAGCGCTATTTTTTTTAGCATGCGATGCACTGGTCACCTATGACACATACTCTTTTAGATGTCCTCAAATATTCACAATCAGGAACCACACCAATTGACTGTACGTGGGTATGGAAAAACCGCCGGAGGAAAGGGTTGAAAAGACCTCGAGTCCTGGTCAAACTGAGGAACAGACAACACCGTTCCCCACTTCCCAGCATTCTTCTAGCTAACACCAAGCTAGACGAACTACGTCCTGTTAAGGACTGTAATGTCTTTAATTTTACAGAGACATGGGTGGATCCCATTGACCATTGTTCCAATGGACCTTTCTGTTCTTTCAATAACCGTTAGGACTGTACAAAGAAACTGGGTAAGTGCAGGGGAATTGATGTGTGCATAAAACAGTGGTGTGTGGATGTACAAGCAGTTTCATAAGGGTTCTCTACTGATCGTGAACACCTCGTCTCACCGTTTTATCTGCCCAGAGAGTTTACAGCGGTGTTCTGCACCACTGCTTGCATTGCCCCTCCACACCATGATACCATGCTGCTGACGTAGTGGCAGATGTCTTCACAGACATCTTTAACCTCTCCCTGCTGGTGTCTGTAGTCCCCTCATTCTTCAAGACTAACATTATCATCCCTGTTCTGAAGAAACCCAGTGTGAGTTCCCTCAATCATGATTGCCCAGTAGCACTCACCTCCATGGTTATAAGCATACAGTCAAAGCTCATATCACATATTCACTGCCTGCTACACTTGACCCTTTTTAGGTTGCCTACAGGCCAGATAGATCCACAGATTATACAACAGTGCTGGCTCTGCACACCATTTCTTACCTGGACCATAAGAACAGTGGACTCATCTCTGTGCTTGTCCCTTAGACCTCAGCGCAGCGTTCGATACTGTCGACCATAATATCCTATTAGAGCGATTAGAACATGCTGTAGGTATTACACGTACTGCGCTGCAGTGGTTTGTATCATATCTATCTAATAGACTCCAATTTGTTAATGTAAATGGAGAGTCCTCTTCACACACTAAGATTAATGGTTGGACCAGTTCTGTTTAATGCTCGTTTTGCACTAGAGGTGTCAAACTAATTTTACATCACAGGCCACATACTGCCCACTTTGATCTTTAGTGGCCTGAACCAGTGAAACTCCTCTTTCTGTCAGTGTAAAGAAGTTACATTTGAACTGTTTGTCTGCATAATAAAAAAAAAGTTGCTGTGACAAAGAAGAAATCTGTCAGCAAGACTTTGAACTTCAATAAATAAATCTGTAAAATTACAGAAAAGTTTCTGGTAGCTCATTGCCCAGACTGCCCTTTTCTTAACTGTAGTCATTAAAAAAAGGAAATTTCTATAATAGTAAGTGAAACCTTTCTGCCATTTCATTGTTTATGGCTTAGTTACTTAGTGTTTTATGAACGGCCATAAGGGAGGTTTTTATCATTAGGAAAAGCTGTAAAACTTGTAAAAATACAGTCAAAAGTCAAAAGTTTCTGTTGGTGCTTATTTGTGGTGAGCAGCAGATCAAACAAGTTAACAATTATAAATGGCTTCAAACACACATTCAGGCCTGTGAGACTCATTTAGACACTCAGACAATGAGCCGTGGCTCAGTCTGAAACCTGAAGCCTTTTGTCCTCCACGGTGGAAAATGGCTGAAGATAAAAATGGGTATCACTTTAGCCAGCTCCTAATTTTATAAATTCTCCACTTAGGTTTGCAGTCTCCAACGTCATTGAAATTCGTTTCTTTACTTTTTCCCAACACGCTTCCATTTAAATCTGACTCCCCCGTCTCTCTGTGTAGCTGTCTTCAAAATGTCTGCCCCCCTTTCTTTTACATAATGGTATGATCCCATCTATATTTGTATTGGCCACATGGTGTGCCCATCAAAATAAAGTCCGGCTCCTGTCTGCATGAATATGGCTCCCAAATACCAATAAAAATCATATTATGCATGTGTTGTGGAAGTTCTTCCATTTAAATAAAGCCTGCAGACGAGCGGTGAGCGGTAGCTAACATTCTTTAATCCAAACACACAAAGAACAGACAACCAAGCTTGATGAAGTCCCTGCATGACCGCGGGACAGACGGTCAGCAGAGTCTCCCTGAGCCCAGCGTGGCTCTCAGTTAAATACCTTCTTCAGGAACAAAAGGCAGCACACAGCTGTTTCACACCTTAAGGTTCACACTCCCTTGCTACCTACCAGAGTCCTCGAAGAGACAAAAGACTCTTCCTGTGGAGTTCTGCTTCCCCCAACATCCTTACTACACCCCCTACCATTTGTCTTACGTATGAGTGTCAGACATGTTAAAATCCAGTGGCACCAAGGCATTACAATAACATGATTAATACATAAGTGAAAGAAATTCCTATACAATCGGTTGGTTACAAGTATAGCGCTTCAACATGCAACAAGAAGAAATGGGAGTGAGACAAAATATTTTCTGAGCATGCAATTTATTGAAAACAACATTTATACTTAAACTACAGCTTTTTGTTTATGATTTGTTGTTCAGTTATTAACTCATGTGCTGTAACAGTCTACGCTACCTTCGACTGCACCGGCTACAGGGCCTGTCTAGCTATAGATATTTCAAGGGCATGAAGCTGGGTCTCCAATTCAGTGATCCTGGCCTCCAGAGCTGCCATCTTGTCTCAGAGTGATGCTAAAAAAATATTTTGTGCATTTATTATGCCTAAGCTGGAAGATTGTAATTCATTATCAGCATGTCCTAGTAACTCCCTGAAAAAAGTCTTCAATTTAACCAAACTGCTTCAGCGAGAGTACTGACAGGGACTAGAAGGAGGAAGCATATATTATTTCCATATTAACTTTACAAGGTATTGAATAATCAAACCCCTTCTTATCTTAAAGGCCTCACAGTACCATATCGCCCTAATAGAGCACTTGCTTTTTAGACAGCTGGTTTACTGGTTGTTCCTAGGATATTTAAAAGTGTAATGGGAGGCAGATCCTCCGGCTTTCAAGCCCCACTTCTGTGGAATCAGTTCCTAATTTGGATTCGTGAGACAGACACCCTCTCTACTTTAAGATTAGGATTAAAAACTTTCCTTTTTCAGGCGCCCTGAGCCAGCACTTAGTTATGCTGGGATAGGCCTAATATACTGGGGGCTTCCCACAACTTGTCCACAAAGATGGACTGTTGTTGTGATTGGGAATTATAGAAATAAAATTGAATTAAACTGAATTTAATTGATGTCTGACTATTTTCTATAGAATATTTAATCAATTTCTTTTTCTAATGACCCACATTCCATTAACCAAGACTTTTCATACCTATAGTGGTGCTAAGGCATCAAATTGTTTGATTGGAAACACTGGCTTTGGTGCATGCTTCATCTTACAAGTAACAAATAGTATTTAGGCACCTGACATTTATGAAAGGATTGTGTGTGTGTGTGTGTGTGTGTGTG